GGTCACTCAGGCAGGAACATGTGGCAAAATAACTCACCTGTGAAAAATAGAGACTATATGCAGTGATATCAAACATTTTTTTTTTAAACTTTGTTATGCATTGCTTTGTACAAGTGGCTCTACATTTGCTATTAAATGAAAACAATCAAAGAAAACTGTTACATGGTCAACCAGAAAACTTACCATAGGTACTCTGTACAAACCTAAGACGTTGGAGATGGCAATAGAAGGTGTAGAGGACGGATCACCCACAATCCCTATGACGGGAGGATTTCCAGAACATGTATCATTTAATATAATTTTCTCTTCTTGACTATTGGCTAATGATAATGCTGCACGGAATCCAATTCCAAGTTCTTGACAGCTATCATACAGCGTATATCCCAGAGTCACATTTGATAGCAGGTTTGAGTTTCTGTTGATTTCATCAATAGCAAAGGCCATGGTTTGTGCAAGCTTAAATCCTAGGGCATAAACACTAAGACAAGAAAAAGTTAATTAATGAAAAAATACATTTTCATCAAGATAGATATTTATCTAAGATACTTTACATGTGGCAAAATTACTTATTTTTATAGACAAATAAAGAAACTGAATAACAATTAACAGGATATTTTGATGAACAAATATAAGTTCATCATTCAAGATACATGCGTTTATCCTGAACAATTTTGAACTGAAAAGTACAGTTACCTTAGGTATAAATTACAAACTCATACTTCCATCACAATAATTTTCATTTCTTTTTTTCTTTTCTATGCTGTTTTCCTGTCATACTTACCCACTGCAAGTAGGCTGTTGTGGTTCTGAAGTAAAAGACTGAATAGAAACACTTGAAAAGAAGTGGATTTGAAACAGTCCCCCTAGAACCACATCTCCAGTCTTGTACATCCCATTTAGATCAAACTGTCCCTGTAACTGACATGAGAGGGAAAACTGAGAAGAGGATATGACCGAGGAAAAGTTGCAAGACAGCAAAAGAAGCAAGAGCGAATTGGTTCTCATGACAGCTTTCTGAATCACTGATCCCAGTCGTTAGGTTTTATTTTTATGTCATTCTCTTTTATTGAAATTTTTTGTTGTTTAATCTTGCACACCACCCATTAAGGAAGAAGGGTGAGTATGGGTGGGGCCTAAAAGACTTGCCATTTGAGATATTTTGTTTTTCTATCCAGTAACTTAATTATTTACTACTGTGAGTTAATTAGTTATCAGCAAAAAATAGCTGAAAAGTAACATTTTTGTTTATTTATTTTTGTGTTTATAAGTGTCATAAAGGAAGAAGGATGACCAAATCACATAAAATCTTATTTAATTTATACCAAGGTTTGTAACAACCCTTATTGTGTTATAGCAGCACTAGGGGGAGTTGCCCTGCTATTGTAGTAGCTGGGGGAGTCTCCTACTGGGTGTGTGAGTATAGTGTGGCAGCCATTACATGCTGCTCGTGTCTGTTCCGAGAGAGACCTCACCATTGTACCGGGCTGGCACGGGCGTCTACCCATCCCCGCACATGTATGTAGAGCCATGGAGACCTGGCTTGTATGGTCTTATATTGCTGACATCAAATAAAGGTCTGTTGTTCGATTTAACCGACTGGCCTCGAATTATCCAGCTAATCTCCGCACCACATGCCCGGTGGACCTGCTAGTAGGGCTGGGCGATATGGCCTAAAAT